AGGACTATGGTTCAAGCATCAGTGCATTTCCTAGGCAACTAATCAAAGGTGTCTACGGAGGGAGCGCTAGGTGCTGGCAGCGTATTTTTCAGTGGCTCTAGGACTTCAACCTTTCCCTTTAAGAGTCTGTTTAAGGCGTAAGTATGCTGGAGGGCATTTAAAAGACTATTGCAAAAATTTGGTCAGTCTATTGAGGATTTTTACCCTCATATCCATCGATAAGCAGAACTGTGGTGAAAGACCTTCCCGCCTCAGAATTTCGATCCTTCTGCTCAAAATTCTATTTGAAATATAAACTAACGCATATTGAGTTGTTTTATGTGTGTTGAGAAGGGGGAATGACTCAGCCTAGTGCAATTTCCCCGACCATTTTTTTTCTCGGCGAATGTTTATCATCAGAAAATCTGCAGACATTTTTTTGACTGGCGCGCCATCTCGAGATCTTCGACCTTGAGTGATGTTATCTCTCTCAGCGTCCCGATGGATGACCCCGACTGTTCGGCTCTCATACTGGTTATCTTTAGTTTTGCTCTGTCGCCGAGTTGCCATCTCTCAAAGTCTTTGCAAATGAACAAGTGGTTTTTGCGAAACGAAACCGTGCAGCCAAGTTGAAGCCTAGATTGAAATCTCATGTATCTAGGATACAGCATCGTGATGTGTGAAATGGTGGTGTCAGTACGACCCCCCCCTCAACACCTACCTACCTACCACTTTTTCCGACATTCGCTAACTTCCACCAGTTTTTTTTTGCGCGAAATTTCGCGACATTTCCACAATTTTTTGCCGAAAAATTTTTCGCCGTCGGGCGGAGCGGGGAGGGGGTATACAGCCAATGTAAAACGGGAAAAGCCGCGCGCGAAAAGTCAATAATCCGGAAAAAAATTCTTCCCAACGCAGCAAATTCCCCCAAAGACACATACGACCCCCCCCCCTTCCTCCCCACAACGGACCAAATGCGCCGCCCTCCCCAAGCGTCCAGCCATGACCCCCGATGGTGTCTCACACAACCGATGGGCTGTAGCTTGTATGTATGCGCTGCTGCACGCTTAGTGGATACTCTATCGCCGCTGTTATACACTGTTCATGGGGGTGGGGGGGAAGCACCGCTTAGATTGTGGTCTCCACCTTGATTACATCATGCAGTAACACCAAGTGATGATTTACGCAGTCAGCTTTCGTCGTGTAAGCACTACATGTTTACTAATTCCCATATAGTTTTTTTCCAAGCCCATCAGTTCCCTAATCGTTTGTGGAATCCTGTGATGCAATTCATAAAAATTCTGGCTATGATGCAATTCATTGAACTGCTCGGCTTATGTCACAGCAAACAGCACGTGGGAAGATTCTCGGAATCCGGGTTGCTCTTCATCCTTCCCAACTCAGCCCTTTGGAACGCGATGACGAAAATTGCTGACTAAGGAACCGAACCATTCGGCGAATCTATAACCCCCGCCTGGAAACAAATCGTCACCAATTCCTTATCTCCTCTTACTTCCATCCTCCAGAACGATATTCGTCGGCAAGAAGGGGGGAGGAAAATCCGTTAATATTTATACAGAATTCGGGGCAGTTCGGCGCCGGGGGGGCTATTTTTTGACTACTTCCTCTGGTACAGCCTCTTTTCGAGTTGACAGGTTTTACCATGGTCGCGTGACGACCTTCTCCAGCTTTACAACAGTTTATAGGTTTTACTAGAGTTAGACTTGTAAACGCTGAACTAGTGAGCAACAAAGTGCCCTCCCCTGCGCCAGCTGCGCGCCAGATCACTCGCCAGATAACAAGAATACGACGCGGCCTCATTGAATCCACACGAATGCCTCCCCTCCGCAGAAAACGATTCCGTAATCCTCACGGTTTTTTTCTGAGATGTATTCCAGAGTAACGGCGAGTGGTTGCGGGAGACTGGCTTAACCGAGTGGGCGGAGACTCTTAACCACTGTGACTTCCTCACTGCTAGTGGGCGGAGACTCTTAACCACTGTGACTTCCTCACTGCTATACTACTGGATGAAGAGCAGGGACATGTCACTGGGAAAGGCGCAGTTATAAGTTTCTGTCCATCCGATGCGGAATTTGTCTGGTACATTGAACGAAAACCTTATGTTTCTCGTGCGCTTTTCTAAAAGTAATGTTGTTGCCATGACGCTCGTGATATTCTTCTGATCTATTTCGTGTCTTCGTAATATTGTGCACGCGAATTTACTCCTTTTGATGCTTTATTGTTCGAGAGTAATCACTAAGGCATATTGGCACACCTTACCGTATATCATAATTCTGAGAATGATAAACGTCCTTCATTGATAATCTGATTTATTTTGCCATTAGGAATGGTCAACAGGTGAACCAGTTCAGTTTTTTCTCAGTACTGACGCGAATGCACTTTGCTCTTTTTATTTTTCACAATCCTATTTTCATTCGCCAGCGTAATTTCTATCAGCCTCAGTATACTTTAAAAGTCACGTTCAGTGATTAACGGTGGGCAGAGACTTATAATCATTGAGCTTTCCTCACTGATGCCCCTGCTCGTATAACGGTGAAGATTAACCGTGTACCAATAACAGAGGTGCAATGGTTATGACTCTCCGCCCATCCGACTACCATAAAATATGTTTTTGAGTCCACATTTGACCGGTTTAGTTTTCGTGTGCATTTTGTCCACATAAACTGTTGAAATGCAATCCTGCCTGAGTCTAACCTAGCTATCCGTTTTTCTTGGTTCAAAGTAACGGTGCCCCATCTAGTTTGGAGGGCAAGAGTCTATGAACTTGAGGCTATCTAGCTGGCTGAACGTGCACTCAGAACATTTCCACGATCTTGCTTGTGATTCGAATACGCGGCGCATCCTAAGAAGGTGGCTTACATTGACTACATTGTTATTTATCAATAAAGCTCTTTGATATGGTCTCGCGACCAGGGCCACGGTATGTTGGGATCTCCAGTGCGGACGGAGGAGGGATCGTATTAGGCTTCTGGAGCAGGAGGAGTTCAGTATCTCGGTGGACGAGATTTTCCTAATTGTTGATTTTTCCCATTTCACGTGTTATATGTAACCTTCCCCCTTCCCATGGCAGGCAACACCGTAATTTTACTATTTGTAATATGTAGTGACCGTAGGAAGGGACCAGCCACCAGCCGCCACTGGTAGCATAGATTTGGTGGTTCGTGTTTTGAGAATGGTTTCTAGACAGCTGTACGTGCTCTGGCGACGGGAAGGAATAACTTTTGGTCTGGCGAAGATTTTCACCGCAGATTCTTTTCCCGTTTCAGGTACGCTATGCAGTTCTCGCTCGGTAGGGCTTTAGGTAGGGCTGGTACTAAGGAACGTTGTCCTCAGCTCTTTGGCATGCCTGGTCGTTGCACAGTTCAACGAGGGGTTACTGTCTTTGATTATTTTACTGCCTTTGATAATAAGTGCCGTCTTTCACTCAGAAACGATTCTTGAAATTCCTGAATATTTTTGGTGAACACTTTTTGCACTCCAGAAACGTGAATTTCAATCCAAATGGGGACATTTATGTGACATTTTCAACCATGTGCTGGCGCTGTTACGCCGATTGGACCACGATTTCAGCAGTTACCCGGACGAAAAAGTATAAGAGGCAACAGCTACTGATTACTCGGCGCCTTTTTTTCTCAAGAGCAATCAGAGGATGGAATCCCTAGCTCATTTCCACTTTTCCTACTCCTTATGTGCAAACCTCACTCTCCCTCTCATCGTACTTTGTAGCTTGGCCTTGCGGTGAGGCAAAGACAGCTGGAAACGCAAACAGATACGTACACACGGAAGGATGCCAGTAGCCGTCATCAGGAAATGCAAACACAAACATCTTTTTAAAATCATCAGCCCACTCTCATGCATACTGTTTGTTATTTGGTGATTCCCACTGGCTCCAGGTTCTCTTGGATATTGAGTTGCACCCCCCTTGCTTTTTGGAGTTGTTAGAGATTATGAATTTGACGCCGAACATTAGGGTCTTTATCGTGATTTATGAAGAGCAGTCAGCTTGGAATTTCCTAATGCGGGCTAGAAGTAAAGTGATACCCACTCTTCTAGAAAAAGGTGAGGATAGTGTGTGGATCGTGCTTGTTTCGATGTCAGATCATATTTAATTTCTACTAGCTTTGGTTATTTTTTTCGTTTTCTGTACAACCGCTTGGACGTTTTCTCACTCTACAGCCATTCTAAACTCATGGGCAAAGACAGACCTCCTTTACTCGATGGCGCTCTCCTCTACCGTCATGAAAGGTGCACCAGTAAGGAAGGTGCATTAGTTCTGACCCCACACCCATGTCTCCGCCCACTCGCTTAACGTGACTCTGAGCTAGATTTCAGATGCCATAAATGATTTTAATCTAGCGCTTACACCCTCAGATGGTTCGAATGCTCAATTAGACTCTGTCGCCGGCGCCACTTGCAGCCAAGGTGATGTCGGGGGAAGCAATGGTAACAGATACCCCTTCCCCCCTCCCCCGGAAAAAACCAGCGCACCGATCCGGACAAGCCGTTCTGGAAAAGCGCACTTGGTCACGAAGGGGTTAGATCGCGAAGCTGCCCTAATCGAAGAGACGGACAAGACAATCGTAGTTCGTCGCGTGCGGCGTGTCGCGCGGCGATGCGCGGCAGATTCTGGGCATGTTTTACTTTGTCGGAATAGCCACACTTTCATCAGTCCAAGCAGAAGCAAGATTTCATGGCAGGCAATATCGAAATTCCCCTTCTTTTAACAACCGAATTCGAACGTTTCGATTCTTCTACGCGGCGCCGCTCGCCACGCTTACCGACGCCGCACATTACGATTGTCTTGTCACACCCCCTCCCCTCCCCCCTTCCCCCAGAGGGGGTCTGAAAGTGACTATCGTCTAACGAAGTTGATAGTCCGTTATCATTCCGACATTTGTTTGCAAGTTCAGTAGAGTGTGAGCGATGTGCTGAGGAATGGTTCACTTCGTCTACTGACTTGCTGGAAAGCGGCTGACACTACCACTCGTCTACTTACCACAATGATACGCCTGAGGACTTTGGTCGTACCAAGCAATGCGCAAGGACCACTGGAGAGGCAGGTTGTCATCCGTAACATCACAAAGCGTGACTGGGTGATCAAAATCAAAAGCGATGCACCAAAAGCGATGCAGTTCGACGCCGACAAGATCGTCATCGATGCGAGGAAGTACGTCATCGTCAAGATGAAGTTCGACTTGAAAGAGATTTCCGGCTACAAAACCGGCATCTCGTCAAAGATCTATCTGTTCGCAAGACCGTTGACTCAATACAACGAGGAAGGCCTACGAATCTGGCTAACCAGGGAAAACAACGAATTGGCTTGCCAGCTAGCCCACGTCGTTCAACTACTCGTCACCGATCAGATCTTCTCAGCTGAAAAGCTCGTGCTCGATCTGCCCGGCCATGCTACAGCAATCGATCCTGTACCGTTCGCTATTGATGAAGATCTGGACAGCCGTTGTGAAACTGCTATGGACATCGAAGACGACACGAATACCGCCAAACGTATCGATGACAAGCTACTCGAACATGCAAGGTCTGCTGTAAAAACTGTTAATTAACAGTAATCCTTTGAAAGATTGTGCATGAATAATTGCTAAAATACTGAATATATAATAAAGAGTTTGGCCTGTTTTCGTGAAGTCCTGTCACAGTACATCTCATCAGTCTTGTTCATGGGTTCGGGTGATTAGGTATTGGGTAGTTGTGCAGTATTCCAGCTCGTTACTTTTCGTCGCTCTTACCGTAATCTCGTCCTTATAGTGAATCATGTTGTCTCACGGAATCCAAAATTAGCCGTCCTTTAGGTTGGTGATTTGTCGAAAGCTCAAAATGACGCCAGAAGATCAGGAGAAGCTTATGGTCAAGGTGAACAACTGGTTGGCGTGGGATAAGGTGAGCCCTATACTTGGGAATCGGGACAGTTACTCTGAATACAAAGTGGGCACCACACCAAGGAGGCGCGCAGCTGCGTCGCGTTTGCTCGTCATTGTCGGTTCAACCGCTTCTTATCGGGTTATGAGTAAGAATGGTGGTGGTCACTTCGAAAGAGGTCTCTGGAACTTCGAGATCAGTTCGAGGAGCGGTGGGTCTCCATCAGAGTGGGCGAGCATGAGGTTAAGTTAGTAGGACGAGTATCGATGGTAGTTGGAAGCACAATGATTATCAAAGGTATCAAGCTGGAAAAAAGACAGTGTTGAAAACTGGGAAAGAGAGAAAATCGATCCTATCGATTATTTCCATCGTAGATTAGTCGTAAATCGCCTGTATACATATCCTGATCAGGATAATACATTGTTCCCACTCTGCGACCCTGACGAATCGGAGAATGGGCGAAAAGAAA